TCAGTGGTTCCTTCTTCTTCCGCTTAGGCAGCGGCGGCCTCTGTACCTCGGCCAGGTACACCATGTTCTTCCATTTCTTCCGGGAGGACACTGAATCTCCTCCCGTGTTTCCCCCCATGATGAACCGACACCCCAGGTGTCGGCGACCTTGCCTTTCCTCTTCATCTAAGTCGTCACAATCTCGTCCTAGGTGCCGCCGTCCATCTTCTTGCCCCTCTCCTGCTGTGATCGCTGCTGTAGGGGCTGGAGGCCTCCTCCAGGTCCGATTACCTGAGGATGGTCGTTCCGTCCGGGGAGGTGGCCCTCTAGCGATCAGGTCCATCTCCTTCTTCAACGTAATGCACTCCGACGTATTGTGGGTGCTGTTACGGTGGTACTCACAGTATTTGGGTGCATCCTGCACACCATAGCTTTCCCGACTGTGAGGGGGAGCAGGTAACGACTGTACCGCATGAACAGGATGCCTGTTCACATGATACCCGGTGAGGTTTGGCCCCTTTCCATAGTCCTTTCTTTTCTTCCCTTCTGCCACCGGTGGCCCGTTTTTCTTCTCCTTCCGGACTGGTGGCTCATCATCTTCTTCTTCTAATGCCAAGTACTTCGCCCTGGCCAACATCTCTTGGTAGGTCGAGAGAGGATTCCGACGCAGCTCCTTGCGCACATCCCCTTGAGGGAGTGCAGCTTGGAGCATAGCGATCAGGGCCTGGTCGTCCACCCCTTGGACGTCCCTAGCCTCCTTCTCCCACCTATTAATAAATTCCCGGAGCTGTTCCCCCTTCCGGATCCTCACATTGAGCAGATGCGAGAAGGGGAGCTTCTGCCTTCGGCTGGATGCGAAGTGCTCCAAGAACTTGTGGGCCAGGTCGCTCCACTTATCTATCGACCCCTTGGGTAACTTGTGGAACCACTCACAAGCCTGCCCTTCCAGCATCGCCAGGAAACATCGACACTTGATTTCTTCTGGGTACGCATACATGACCACGTTAGCCCCGAAGCGAGCGAGGTGGTCTTGGGGATCGGTTGTCCCGTTGTACGCCTTGATTTGGGGAGTCTTGAAATTATCTGGGAGAGGTCAGGACATTATCCTTTTGGAGAAGGGCGTTACCTCACTGAAGACCGCTTGGCGATAAGGGTTTTGGGCGTCCAGCCGCTTCTCCAGTTGTTCGTACATTTTCCACAGCTCAGCTGCACCCTTATCCCCGACGGTCGTCCGTCGCTCCTCAGAACCGACCTTGGAGGTCGCTGTGGACTCCCCTCTCTTCTCCTTGAGCGTGTCCCTCAAGTCGCCTTTTCGGGCCGACCGAGTGTCCTGCAGCCGCTCGAACGCAGAGGTCCGAGGCTTCTTTGACTTGGGGTCTCCCAAACGGTCAAAAGCAGACATTCGCT